TTCCCAGGGTGGGAATAGGAGAAGCTTTGGAAGCTTCAGGAAAGCTGAGGGAGTATCCCCAACCCTTGGGAGCAGGGCAAGTGCCATCTGGAATTCCTGGAGTCCACTTGGAATTGTGTAGCCGCAGTCTGGGGGTTTAAATCCCTGGGAGTGGCTTTGGCACAGCCTTCTCCATGTTTTCCCAGGACCACTCAGACCAGGATCATCTCCAGGAGGCACTTGGTGCCTTTCCTGCTTTCTGGAGCAGGGAGGGCCAGGCTGGAGCCTGCCTCGCTCCCAAATCTTGGCGGGATGAGGATGCTGGATCCCAGCCCGGCCCATCTGGACACACCGTTGTCTCCCATTCCCTTCCAGATTGCCCGGGATTTCAATCCCAACTGGATGAGTGCCGTGGAGATCCTGGATGACGACAATTTCCTGGGAGCAGAGAACGCCTTCAACCTGTTTGTGTGCCAGAAGGACAGGTGGGTTGGGATGGCATGGCATGGAACCCTCGGGAATGCTGAGGGAACATTCCTAGAGGAATGTTCCTGGAGCAGGGGAAGCTTTGGAAAACCTTCAGGAAAGCTGGAGGAGCACTCCCAGCTCTGGGGAGCAGTGGGGTGGGATCAGGGGAAGCTTTGGAGCATTCCCAGCTCTGGGGATCAGGGGAAGCTTCGGAACCTTCACAAAAACTGGAGGAGCATTTCCAGAGTGGGAATAGGAAAAGCTTTGGAACCCTCAGGAAAGCTGGGGGAGCATCCATGGGGTGGGAACAGGAGAAGCTTTGGAACCTTGAAGAAAGCTGGGGGGGAGCAGGGGAAGCTCTGGAGTCCCCCCATCCTGAGCGTTTGGAATTCCAGCGCGGCCACGACGGATGAGGAGCGGCAGCACCTGCAGGAAGTGGGATTATCCCACCTTGGGGAATTCGTCAACGTCTTCTGCCACGGATCCCTGGTCATGCAAAACCTGGGAGAGACCTCCACGCCCACCCAGGGCTCCGTCCTCTTCGGCACTGTCAACGGGATGATCGGTGAGGAGCATCCCCAGGGAATCCTGGAATGGGTCGGGCGGGAAGGACCAATTCCCAGTATTCCCGGCGTTCCTGTCGCAGGGCTGGTGACGTCGCTGTCGGAGAGTTGGTACAACCTGCTCCTGGACATGCAGAACAGGCTCAACAAAGTCATCAAGAGCGTCGGGAAGATCGAGCATTCCTTATATCCTTTGGGATTCCAGCCTGGAACCTGCTCCGGGGGGTGGAGGGGCTCGCTCAGTGGGATCGGGTTTGGGCAGCCATGGAATTAAGGTTGGAAAAGCCCTCCGAGGTGAGGGGGTGCAGCCATTAACCCAGCACTGCCACAGGCACCACCAAGGGGTTATTCCCTGGGGATTTGGCTCCTTGACGGATCTGGCACCTGGAGGTCGTTCCACACGGAGCGGAAGACGGAGCCGGCCACGGGATTCATCGACGGGGACCTGATCGAGAGTTTCCTGGATATCAGCAGGCCCAAGATGCAGGAAGTGGTGGCAAACCTGCAGGTGAGTTCGGGAACGTGGCCTTGGATTCAGGAATCCAGGCTCGGTAAGTCACGGAATCGTAGATCCGTGGAAAGGTTTGTGTTAAAAGGGACCCCCGAGCCCGTCCAGCTCCAGCTCCGACACCTATCCCAGGTTGCTCCAACCTGGCCTGGAGCACTTCCAGGGACAGGGAGGCCACAGCCTCCCTGGGAAACCCTGGATCCACGCCTTCCTGGGTGGTCTGGGAACGCCTCCGACGCCTTTCCCTTCCCGCGCAGATCGACGACGGCAGCGGGATGAAGCGGGAAGCCACCGTGGACGACCTGATCAAGATCGTGGAGGAGCTCACCCGGATCCATTAGCAGGATTCGGGATCATTCCCTCCCCCCGGAGCCGGGGAATCCTTCCCCAGCCGTGCCCAACACCGGAGGGGCCGAAATCTCCCAAGGAAGAGCAGCTCGTTAGGAATTTGGGGGGGTGTCGGTCGCTTCCCGCTGGGATTCATTGATCCCGTGGACTCGGCTGTGCCCAGAACTGTCCCTTCCCTTGGGTGATCCACCGGGATGCGATTCCCTCTTCCCTGGTGTCTTTGGTAGATTTGACTCATTTTTTTTTTGGCTTTTGATCCCCCCTTTTTTTTTTTTTTTGGATTCCTTGTGTTTTATTGAGGAAGAGGAATCGAAGCTGGAGGAGCAGCCGAGCGGGATAACTCTCCACAGGATCCATTCCTCGCTCAGGGAGGGAATTCTGGGAAGCTCAAGCTCTTGTTGATTGCGGAGTTTTACCAAATAAAGTAGTCCAAGAGGAAAGATCCGTGTCCTGAGGAATCACAGCTGTGGCCTTGCCTGGGGGACCTTGGGAACCCCTGTTTTCCTGGGATTTGTAGGGAATTTTAGCTCCTTGTCTGGTTGCCAGCAGCACTGGGAATTCCCTGAGAGGCAGATTTTTGGCTCACTTTTTAGGGAAACCTGGCTTTTCCATCCTCTGGCTGGTCATTAATAATCCTCCTCCTGCTCTCCCACCTTCTTCCTCATGGAATTTGGGGATTATCCTGGAGCTTGCCATGCTCTCCCCAGCCTGGATCTCCCCATAACTCCAGGTTACCCCCTGCAAATCCCATTCTGGGCAGGTTTCCCTAAAATCCTTCCCTCCCTGAGCTCCAGCTCGTGCTGGAAGCATCCCTGGCTCCCACTTCCATCCTGGATTCTCCGAGGAGGCCACAGGGAGAAGGCTATATTTGGACATCTCTTCCCAGAGCCAGAGGGAGCAGGAGCTGACCCTGGACTCTGTTCCTGGTTTTATTCCCTCAGGCTTTGTTTACCTGCCTGGAGCAGCTCAGTTCCCAAAATCTGGGAGGCCCAGGGAGCGGATCTTTGAAGTGCTGTCCCTTTCCCAGCAAAACTGGTGCCAATGGAATGCTGGCACCCTCCTTTTTTGGGGATGAAAGCGCTGCATGTGCCGGGGCTGGATCAGGATTTATCCCCTTCCAGGGCCAGGAGCTGGGATTTGGGATCACATTCCTCTAGGAAAGGACCTTGCTGTGGCAGCACCGTGGCTCCTGCATCCCTTATTCCAGCGGGGACCCCCTCCCAGCAGCTCCAGTCGGGAATTGCTGTGTCTTGCCTGGGTGATCCTGACCCTTGGGCAGGGTTGTGAGGGAAAATCCGTGCTGAATTGGGAATTTTGGAGGCCACGGTGCCCTTTGCTCCCCGGGATCAATCATTTACCTGCCTGTGACCTTTGCTTCATTCCCAGCTCCAGGGTGGGATGAGGGGCCAGGGGGAGTTGGATGAGAGCCTGGAATGGGGGATCCCACAGCCCCCCTCTCCCTTTGGGATGCATCCCACTATCCCAGCTCTGCTTTGGCCCCTTTATCCGCCGTGTGCAGGGCTGGGAAGGCCTCCAGGAGAAGGAGGAGGAGGAGGGGTGAGAAGAGGCCGGGCCGGAGCTTTGCCAGATGTGGGAAAGGAGGGAAAAGGGGGATACATTCCCAGCGCCTTGGGGACCCCCTTCCCTATCCCGGAGCCACCGCGGGAATGTCTGGGCTGACTCCGCTCATCCCAGGCGAGCGGGACAAAGTCGGGATGATCCCGGAGCCGCCGTGGGTTTGGGGGGTGGGTGGGAGCCGCTGGCGCCGCTCCCGCCCCGCTCCAATCCCCGCTCCAATCCCGCGCCGGTCCCGCATTGTTCCCGGCTCGGCGGGAGGAGGAGGAGCAGGGCCGAGGGCCAGCGGGAAGGGAGGCGGGAAGGCGGGAGCCGGGAAGTGCTGGAGCCGCCTGTCATGTTGGTGGAGCTGCTCTTCCAGGCTGCCTGTGTGTCCCTGCTCCTCTCCAGCGGCCAGGCCAGGGGGTATCCCGGGAGGAAGAAGCCGGGAAGCTTTGCCGTGGAGAGGTAGAGCTGTGTCCCCCCCTCCCCTTTTCCTGATCCCTTTTCCAGCTACACCTGGAATGGGCAGCGTCCCGAGCTCCAGCCATCCCTGCGTTCTGCTGCCTGGACAGGCTGGGACCCCGCAATTCCCTCCCTCTTCCCAGGTCCAGGGGAGCATGACCCTGTTCCCTGCATCCTTGTCCTGCTTCCATCATCCCTGTCCTGCTCCCCGCATCCCTGTCCTGCTCCCCACATCCCTGTCCTGCTCCCCACATCCCTGTCCTACTTCCATCATCCCT